TGCCACTGTGAAGTACATACATGGAAGCATGAAGTCTACTCGCCATAGCTAGCTAGGCTAGGATTCTTCTTGTCGTTCATCAGCAGTAAACTTCGACGGCACAGTTTTTGGTTGTTTTTCCATTTCTGGATTTTGACATTGTTCCAGAACGTGCGTGTTGCATGCAAATCCGTTTTACAGATCTGCCTAATTTGTACGCTCTCTGTTGGTTCCTCGCCTGCCAGAGAAATGCACTCAAATGTCAAGTGAAATTCCCGATTCTGGGCCTTTTACAATGGGGAAACGGGATCCACTCGAGGAGGGTAAGACTGATTTGGCTAATTGAGATTGTAATATTTAGTCCGTCTCCAAGCGTAAGGATACAGAAAACATTAGGGATTGGGGGTGGGGGGGGGGTTTGCCCCAAGAATCACATGTTTTTTTTAAATTCTTAATAATACTAATTATAGCAATGGCAAATAATGGCAACTAAGTATAATATATAACAGCGCAATTCTCTTGCTAATTAAAAGATGGTTGGTGGGGCATCACGCCCTCATCGTCCGCTATGCAACAACAGACATCCCCTAGCCCCAACCAAAGTTAAAGCTAGTATCTGTCTATGACAATGGAGGAGACAGAGTTAACTACAGTAGCTCGGGGATATAGGAGTTAAGCCTTTAACGCATAACTGCATTGGGTGAGGGGTAAAGGAGTTAATACTCTAAGCCAATACTGCAGTGGTTAAGGGATATAGGAGTTAAAACTTTAACCCACTACTACAGTGGTTCAGGGATAGAGGAGTTAAAACTTTAACCCAGTACTACAGTGGTTCAGAGGTATAGGAGTTAAAACTTTAATCCCATAACTACAACAGCAAATTGTTGCTCCCGGAAATGGCTGGCCGCCATTGGGAAGATGGAGGCGGACTGAGGGAGAGCTTGTCAACAAATAAACGGTTGCCTCCTGCCTTCCTCACATCCATGATGACATTTCAGAGGATATATCAATGGTACTGTTGACCATTCACAGTTTGTGAGTGACTGTTAGAGATAACTTCGTGCTTATGGTCTGTCTGTCGCTGTCAAAGTGAAATTATGTTCCGTTTGCGTGTAGAATAGACGCCGAATTTATTTTTTATTTGGCTCTCCTCCGAAACTTCTACCCCCGCATTATGGCGGCCTGAAATATCCGTTCGGGGATCAGTGCTATTAAAAATATGCCGGCTCCGTATAACGAAACAAATGCTCTAACAGGGTCTCAGCGATGTGTTACTTGCGGACCTGTTTATGTTTCTGATTACCTGACAATTCTAAGAGACGCACGCAACACTGCAGACGATAGTAGCGACCGGACAGCAGTCACTTCCCATTGCATTGTCCGACTTTCTGCCGAGGAACACATATGTAAAATAGGGACTTGTCGGACTTTCTGCCGACGAACAAAGCGCGGCAAATCTACAAGGTCTCAGCGATATATAACTTGCGGACCTGTTTCTGTGACTATGCCTCACCGCTGACCGTATCCCCGGCGCCGCTACGCGCGGCGCGGATAAGGGCTAAAGTATATGGCTGGGACTCACGAGCAGCAGCTACTGCATCTCCTGCAACTTCCTCCAATTACTTTGCTCGTGAGTCCCAGGCACCTAGATTAGCCCCCCATCCTCACCGCGAGTAGCGGCGCGTGGATACGCTCGGCGGTGAGTTTAATCGCGTTTTGCGCATGCCGATAAGTCTGACATCTACCGCAGCTAAATCCTCAATCGGAAGAACAGTATTGCTAATCTGCGTGGGAGCGTGTGGTCTACCCGCCATATCGCTTTCATCGTCTGTAATGTCTCAAAATTGTCAACGGTTGCTTTTATCATCTGCAGAAATGCTGACATTGTCACCGGTCGCTTTTATCGTCTGCTACTATCGTCTGCAATGTTGCGTCTCTTGAAATTGTCAAGTAATCCTAGTTTTGCCGCAATTTGTTCTTTGGCAGAAAGTCCGAAGTTTTCATTGGACTGAGCCCCGAACGGATATTTCAGGCCGCCATAATGCGGGGGTAGAAGTTCAGAGGAAAGCCGAAAGTTTTGGCAGGAAAATAGGTTGTTGTGATGTTTCAATTGTTTCCACTTTTTTTTAGGTTTAGTTTACATATTTGGTACATTTTTGGGCTTTTCCAAATTAATTTTTACCCATAAAACCAGTGCAGGTTCTTATTCTGAAATTCTGCAATTGCATCCTGATGAGCCCAAGACTAAGCCTCTTGTTTGTACAGTACAGCACTACTGTTACTACTAAACGTGTTCAGTTGTTATGCAATAAGTTTGCTAGAGGATATGGGCGGTAGTCTCCGCTGTTTATTATTGGTGATTGTTCATTTTCATGATTGCTGTCATAGGACTAACACCTCAGTGATGAGAATAAAACAGGAGTAAATTCCAGATAACAGTTTAAAAAACAACAAAAAAGTATTTCATTCAAACCCTCCTCCCCCTCCTATGTTATGTTTTCACAATCGACGTCGCTGCACATTGGGCATTCCCATGCGTGCTCAGTCCTCCGATGCAGCAGCCACTTCAAAGTACTTCTACTAATTGTTCACGTGATAAGCTGGTTATATTGTCTCCTATCTCGGCCTCGAAGACAGCAAAGATGGGCTTCACCATGCTTTACTCCCATGTCACGCAATCGTGTTAGTGTCAGGGATTCCTCATTATCCACTAGCCCAGTCCGTACAGCGGTGACGATATCTGCTCTGTCCGTGCTTTTTTCCCTCAATCTGCTCACTCATTTCCCTTTACGCCCGCATGACCCGGTGTTTTGATCCAGGTTACAGACGTTAAGTGTGATTTTTGAATGCTTTCTACCCATTCGAGAGCGCATACTGCCTGTTGCTATCTTCTGAAGCATATTCATGGAGTCTGATACAATTACTGCCTATGTGATGGTTTGTTCAGATAGAGCAACATACTAAGAGAAGAATTACAAAGTCTCTGTTTCGTAACACCAAGATTAGAATATATAAAATGTTGATAAGACCAGTAGTTTTTATATGGCTGTACAACTTGGAGCACAACCAAAAGCGATGAAGCCTTTTTACACATTTTTTAAAACAGATTTTTATACCAATTTATGAACCCGTCAGAGATGAAACAGCAGGGAATGGAGAGTGAGAGACAACATTGAAATTCATAATCTGTTTGAATCACTGGTGATCAGTTTCATCATGAGAGCCAGTAGACTGAACTGGCTGGAGCATATTGAGAGAATGTCCGATGACAGAGAGGTAGAAACTGTGTTCACAAGGGAGCTGAATGGCTGTAGACCACGAGGCAGACCAAGAAGAATGTGGAGAGATAATATACAGACAGACCTACAAACACTTGGAGTATTCAGATAAAAAGAGAGGGCCAGTTACAAAAATGAATGATGTTGGGTGATATCTGTGGCAGTGAACCTCAAGGGCTCAAATGCTGATGAAGAAGAATCGATACATGTGAAAAAGAATCGATACATATGAAGAAGAATCGATACATATGAAGAAGAATCGATACATATGAAGAAGAATCGATACATGTGAAGAAGAATCGATACATATGAAGAAGAATCGATACATATGAAAAAGAATCGATACATATGAAGAAGAATCGATACATATGAAGAAGAATCGATACATATGAAGAAGAATCGATACATATGAAGAAGAATCGATACATATGAAGAAGAATCGATACATATGAAGAAGAATCGATACATATGAAGAAGAATCGATACATATTAAGGAGAATCGATACATATGAAGAAGAATCGATACATATGAAGAAGAATCGATACATATGAAGAAGAATCGATACATATTAAGAAGAATCGATACATATTAAGGAGAATCGATACATATGAAGGAGAATCGATACATGTGAAGAAGAATCGATACATATGAAGAAGAATCGATACATATTAAGAAGAATCGATACATGTGAAGAAGAATCGATACATGTGAAGAAGAATCGATACATATGAAGGAGAATCGATACATGTGAAGAAGAATCGATACATATGAAGAAGAATCGATACATATTAAGGAGAATCGATACATATGAAGGAGAATCGATACATGTGAAGAAGAATCGATACATGTGAAGAAGAATCGATACATGTGAAGAAGAATCGATACATATGAAGAAGAATCGATACATATGAAGCAGAATCGATACATATGAAGAAGAATCGATACATATAAAGAAGAATCGATACATATGAAGAAGAATCGATACATATTCTTGCGATGTCTCAGCTGTCATTTATTTCAGACTGTGAGAAAGAAATATTACAATTTCAATATTTTATCTCACATCCTCTCTGTTTCTTTAGTTTTGTAATATTTCACTTTATTATTCTTTATACTTGTTTATGATTCTATTTATAGTTCTAAATGCCTAAAAATCAAGCTTTTGATCTTGAGCATTACAGGAAGATTCTTGGACAAAGGAAAAGAAAAGGAAAATTAATCATTTTTCACGATCTGAATGTCAAGGAGAACCAGCATCATTTTCATAAATGTAAATATTGTAAGCATATTAACTGCAAAAATGGTTGGAGATGACAGTAGTGGCTGATGGGTTGCTAGAAGAAAGGGCAGGAATCAATCAGCCCAGCATTGGACAAAGGGATGTCAAGAATACCCTGGGCATGTAAGTGCAGGATATGGGTGAGTTAGTAAAGGACATAGTGACTTGTGGCCTGCCAAAATGAGGACGAGGTTATGCAAGAAAATTGCTTAACGATGATAAGGATGAATAGAATTGTCTACATTATTGAATATACTTTGTCATAGTTTATATCTTCCCCACTGCGTTAATCACTGGTTCCTTGATCTGTTCCTGTTCAAGGTCCTTCGGTAACACCACATCCCAAAAACCCCTAAGGCAGACTTCAACAGAAGCTAAAAGACAGAAGACGTTACACTTTCTAAGAGTTAATATTATCATATTCATTTCTTTGCAGGAGTGTAACTAAACAGAACATATCCCCATGGCAACTAACATCAAGCACGAGGCCGTGTTCCCTCCGGCTATCTTCAGCTTGAAGAAGATGACCCACCCCAGCCCCAGCAGAAATGGGGCGAAGGGTGCCTACATGCTGTATGACCCACAGCAGAATGCAGATGACCTATTTTCAGAGAAAAGGGTCAATGGAGTTGGTGGTTCAGCCCCCGGAAGTCCTGGCTCTGTGCAGGATTACGAACAGGTAGCTATGGCAGATACATCTCTTTCATTGGAGGCTAGACTTATTCTATCATGTGAGAACCGTTTAAACATATAGGTGTCAGTCAGTCAAGACAGTTAGTAAACAGCTTATTTATTTCTGGAGGTCTCAGAAATGTGGTTACGCAAGTTAATATTAACACTTACTTAGACAGTTACAGAGAATAATCTAAATATTTAAGCAAAGATTGGAAACCAGTAAAGACTGCTGACAACTAAACACAAGCAAACAGATGGACGGTCATCGTTGTTTGGGGTCTACATTATGAGAAGACACAACTAGATTTTGTTGCAGCTAAAGATATTTACAGAAAATGAGCTAAAGGAAGACATAGAGACAAATCTTTGACAAACTGTTGTCAAAGCTTGGAAAGATGTCAGCCCAAAAAATAATGAGTTATGAATTGGATTATCTTAACAACACTGTGGACACATCCATAGGTGCTCAGATTCCCCTCAACATATTGATCAGTGTCGCACGTAAATAGTGCCAGTCCTATGCTGTTTAAAAACTGATATATGGAAGTGACAAGAGGATGAGAAACATGGAGGCCCACATCAATCAAAAATATACATGATGATGATAATTATTTACAGACATGTATCTATAAAAAAAAAACTGTCATACTGTTTAAAAAAAAAAACACAACATATTATCTTGTAAAAACCTTGAAAAGCCCTTGAAAGCTCTGTAATTTGTTGTTGCTGTGACATTTTCTCTGTAGAAGACTAACTCACACCTATTCATACCTCAGTAGAAACCTAAAGTTGTCTCCCCCCCCCCCCCCTAAACCCCCCTACCTTTTTTCTGCCCTTTCTTTCTTTCCCATTTATATCCCAGGTTTAACTTGTTCAGTCCCAAGTAACATCATACTTTCATAGGTTTCTCATCATGAAGCCTAACAAACGCAAGATGCCCCGATTGTATGTCTCTCTTGTCTACCCCTTGGGGCTCTGTTGCTCGGCCCCCTGGAACTGAAAGGGTTAAAGAGGAATACTATAGTATAAAAAATTGATGTTTTTATGTTTTTAGGCTGTTCTGAAGTTGCAGCAGGAAATAGAAGAAAGTAACAGAAAAGGGTCCGAACTGGAGCAGATAATTGCAGACATCAGCAGTCCTAACATGTCACAGAGTGCCAGGGTAGACAGTCAGGGATTAGAAGGTGAGTTGTGTGGTTTTCTTCATCTTGAGTTAAGGCATAGTCCTAATCCTGAAAATGATATTCACTATAAAATTATACTATTTGGTTATTTCTCTCTTTGACATACACGTGTTTAGGGAATTCATGTCCACTACATATAGGGACTTTTCCAACAAACCCAGGAGACCGACCCCAGAAAAACACTAGATAAACTTCAGGAGCCTACATCACAACGCAGCAAATAAATGACATTTAAACAGTTGAGAATGTGCAATTTTCCTGTTGCAGCATATGGGTGTGAATTATTGATTCTTTCATAGTCGGCACACACAATAACTGAGGCTTTCCTTGAGTGCAAACCCCAACACATTATGACAACCACCCTTTTAAAAGTGAGCACAGAAAAAGAATTCAGGCTTGAACTTAACCCTCTGTCCCAGAGACCCGCAAACCCAACATTTCCCTCCATTTCTAATTCCAGAAAATGCTTTCTGCATTTCTACCCTTGTTAATTACATTGGTTCTGTTAGCACTTGCACAGTATACAGTATTTAGGAGGGCTCAGGTATAATTATATTTACTTAAAATAGCATGGGAGTTAGGGGGATGGGAATATGGCTCCCTTTTTAACTATGATGATGTCATAATGGACTCTGTACATTTAGTCACCCTATGCATTTTTTTTGGGGGGAAAAGAAGCTGAACATCAAAGAAAACTAGTCCATCAACAGCATCCTGTCTCATGAAGGGAATTACTGTAACCACATTTACTGTCAGGGGTATAGATTGATCAGTAATGGAAAGTATGGTTCCTGGAGAACAGACAAGTCAGTGAGAATGGTGGTGGATATTGCGCATGGAAGTTGCTGGCATGGAAATTCATGAGGTACTGGAACTGTTAAAGGATGGAACATTTTCGGCCACTTATGATGTATAAGTAAAGGGCCCTTTTCCACACTTTCAGATGTATTGGGCATATAGGGCTAGACATATAATTTATAGACTAATAGGCACTCTATGGGTGATGTGGTCTCATTATCCCGGTCTTTATCTGGTACCCATCTAAGTCAGACTTCACCAGGGCCTGAACCCATGACTTTTGCATCCACAGGCCAGTGTCTAGCTACCTCACCACGGCGGCTGCCCAGGTTATGATGAGAGCAGTGTTATGTGAGAAAATTGCTGCGTGAGATTGCTTAACTTTTGTAATGTGTCCTGTAAGCTTCGTGTTATGTAATACTGTAACATCCCTTGTTTCATTATTTTTTTAAATATTCCATTTATTGTTAGTTCTAAACAGCACTGTCATAAGTATATTCCAAGCTTGGGAAGGTTAATCTGGGCAGCAAATACCTGAACAAGTCAGCGGAAAGGCACAAATATTGCAGCAGTGCTGTAACTGGACACAACACAATGACGCTTTTGGAAAAACAGCAGAAGTAGAATATTCTAAGCATCACCTTTCTGTGTCATATTCTGGCAGTTTCTTGTGAGATGTTATAAATATCAATTTCTGATATCATCCTACAAGAATCATCATCAGGTGACAGTGTTGGAGAAAATGTCAAGGACGCCCACATCCGACATCTCCAGCGGCAGGTGACAGTGTTGCAGGCCAGCCTTTACAAGTGTGAGGGCTGGGCAAACAGGTAGTCACTTGTGTGTTGTTGTATGCAGTGTGTCACTTGTGTGTTGTTGCATGCAGTGTATCACTTGTGTGTTGTTGCATGCAGTGTATCACTTGTGTGTTTTTGCATGCAGTGTATCACTTGTGTGTTGTTGCATGCAGTGTATCACTTGTGTGTTGTTGCATGCAGTGTGTCACTTGTGTGTTGTTGTATGCAGTGTGTCACTTGTGTGTTGTTGCATGCAGTATGTCACATGTGTGTTGTTGCATGCAGTATGTCACATGTGTGTTGTTGCATGCAGTATGTCACTTGTGTGTTGTTGCATGCAGTATGTCACATGTGTGTTGTTGCATGCAGTATGACACTTGTGTGTTGTTGCATGCAGTATGTCACATGTGTGTTGTTGCATGCAGTATGTCACTTGTGTGTTGTTACATGCAGTATGTCACTTGTGTGTTGTTGCATGCAGTATGTCACTTGTGTCTCTTTTATATTTAAGTGTGAATGTTGTGTGGAATTTGTGAACATTTTTTTATTTTAGAATTCACAGATTATGTGTGTAGTTTTGTTAAACAGTTCCTCTCTGGGAGCCGCTGTGGTGTAGTTGAAGGGTTCTGGTCTTGACGAAGCCAGAGCTATTTAAAAAAATTTACCTGGGCTCGCAGGTTGACCCAGCCTTAAATGGGAGTGATCACGTCACCCATGGAGTGCCGACTGGTCTGTAAAATATAGGTCTAGCCCTATATGCCCAGTTCACCTGAAGGCGTAGACAAGGATCGGGTTCTTTACTTTTACAGTTTCCCTCTAGGAGTGCAGCAAATCCATTCACTCTTTTCAGCCGTACAAGACGTTATATTGTGATTACCATGTAAGCTGTTTGTTGGTCGATTCTCTATTTCCCTGTTTGCAAGGAGCTGAGTTACCCCACACAACCAGTCTCAGAAAACAGCTGAGAATTAACTGAGTTTTTTTTTTATGCATGTGGGTTCCAGGGCCCCATTATGGGGAAAAAAAGAATAGACCCACCGCCTCCCCAACAATCAAGTCGTAGGAGTGATTTACCTGGAGACTTCCTTAAAAGTTTGAATGCACACAAATAAGTAAGTAAAGCAGATCTACACGCACAAGAAAAGGCTCTCTGGCCATTGACAAGCATGCCATAAAAGGTAGCTAATTACTAAGGATTTTCTGAAACCTTATGCATTGAGCTGAAAGGTGCAGATATCACAGCCTAGCTGCAAACTACAACACAACAGGGCAAACACAGAAGAAAAAAGTGTAGATGGCTCAGTTTTTTGCCATGTTTTAAGGAGACATGGGTTAAAAATTTAGTGATAGCTGACAGATTTGATGGGAAAGGAGCAAACGGAAGACAAAGGGTTAAATACCTAGAATACTTGATAACATGACATAATTGAGAAAAGGAACACAGACTTGATCCAAGACTGAGTCATGTGTAATTGTGAGTTGTGACCACCTGTGCTTGTTGGCATGACACACGGTGATGATGATGATGATAATGTGATACTTCTAAGTAGGATAATAACCACTGTATTGCATAACTGTCACTTCCACAACTTTGACATCTGTCAATGGAGAGACTGAGCACTCATGGATTTAAAATCCAGCACCTTAAATCTAAATAATTAAAGTAAAAAACACTTTTTCACGCCTTCAGGCATATTGGGTTTATAGGGCTAGACCTATATCTTTTAGACAAACAGCACTTGATGGATGATGTGGTCAACATCACGCCGGCCACCTTTACTTCCCAGGAGTGTACCGGGTACCCACTTGAGGCAGGGTCGACCTGGGAGTCGTCACTTTTGATTAAAATTTACAGCCCGGTCAGGATCCGAACCCACAATCTTCTGATCTGCATGCGAGCGTCTAGCCGCTAGACAACGGTGGCCACAATCAACCACATTTAAATAATTTTAAAAATATGATTGAAATTTTGCACATTTTCCTAACAGAGTTTCTGCAGCTTTAAAAGAGCGAGACAAGGCTCTAGATGAAGTGGCTCGGGTCACAAATGAGAGGACCAGCTTGCAGGAGGAGAACCAGCAGTTGCAGAACAGGATAGAGACCTTGGGTGCCACCTTGCAGGACACCCAGCAGAACCTGCAGCAGGTCACCCAGGAGCTGCAGAAGCAGATGTACCACGGGCAGCTGGTGTCCCAGCTCCAGGAGCAGGTCTACAGGCAGAAGTGTGAGATTGCAACTCTGAAGGTTAGTTCTTTGAACTTTCCAGGCACTGCAAATTTTTTTGTCTGTCCTGTTCACGGTAATGAAAAGGCATGATTCCTGGAAGAAGAAAAAAATGGGAGGGGGGGGGGGATTGTGGCTACAGAAGTGAATGGAAGAAACAGCAATCAGGAGTAAAGAGAGCACATGCACAACACAGAAACAAAATGATGACTGCACTTATGGAGTGTGCCCTTAAAGAACAGTGTGCTGTTGTGCATGTTTGTGTGTTGGCAAAATGGCTGCCTGCAAAGGACATCCTTAAGAAAATACATCCTGTTTATGCTGATAAATGTTTATCCCATAAAGCGGTGCATGGTTGGGTGAAGAATTGTTCTCTGTTTGATTGTTGATTAAGTCCGATCTGGTCATCCTTTTGAGATGGCAACAGACACATCCATGCAGTGGGCGGAGGAGATGATTAGAGGTGACAGGCGAGTAACTGTTGACTCTGTAGCAGCTGCAGTAGGGTGCTCACATGGTTTTTGGTGCACTGAAAACCCACATTGGTGGGAGGTGTTTCATGAATGATGCAGAAGTTGAGTGTGAAGTGAAATGTGGTTTGGAAAACAGAGCACACAGCTCTATGCAGCAGGTTTGGGAGGACTGACAGAACAATGGGACAAGTGCATCAATATTGGTGGAAATTAGGTTGAGAAATAAAGCGACAGTGTATGTGTAAAAATAAAGGGTTTTTATTTTCGTTATTATCTTTTTTTTTTTTTAAACAACCATTTGTGACTTACTGTTGACTTCCGCTTGTGGGGTTGCTTCTTTTGAAATCAGTATGCCTCTGCCTGAGAGGCTAGGAACCAGCAGTCTGCACACAAATAAGCCAGATTTAAATAGCGGATGTGCACGCAAAACAGAAGTTCTGGAATAAGACTCAAGTCCAGAAGTGGATGAACAACCAGAACTTTCTGTCAGATTTTACAGCTAGTGAATGAAGAAGAAGACGGTAGAATTGTTACTGTATTATTCGGACAATTTCTGAACACAGTACTTTTTCGCCCTAGGATTCACTTAGTCGTCTGAACCAGGAACACAAAAGCTTGAAGGATTCAGGCATTGAGGTCAACAGTCAGGTGCTGGGCAACGTGGCATGTAGCCAGGAACTGGAGCACTTGCACCTGGTAGTTGACAAGTTGAAGGACACCGTTCTGGAGCAGCGATCTTATCTTCTACATTTAAGTATGTGAATGTAAACTTATATTGCCATCTAGAGTATGTGAATGTGAACTTATATTGCCATCTAGAGTATGTGAATGTGAACTTATATTGCCATCTAGAGTATGTGAATGTGAACTTATATTGCCATCTAGAGTATGTGAATGTGAACTTATATTGCCATCTAGAGTATGTGAATGTGACTTATATTAGTATGCCATCTATATTGCCAGTGAATGTGAATGTGAACTTATATTGCCATCTAGAGTATGTGAATGTGAACTTATATTGCCATCTAGAGTATGTGAATGTGAACTTATATTGCCATCTAGAGTATGTGAATGTGAACTTATATTGCCATCTAGAGTATGTGAATGTGAACTTATATTGCCATCTAGAGTATGTGAATGTGAACTTATATTGCCATCTAGAGTATGTGAATGTGAACTTATATTGCCATCTAGAGTATGTGAATGTGAACTTATATTGCCATCTAGAGTATGTGAATGTGAACTTATATTGCCATCTAGAGTATGTGAATGTGAACTTATATTGCCATCTAGAGTATGTGAATGTGAACTTATATTGCCATCTAGAGTATGTGAATGTGAACTTATATTGCCATCTAGAGTATGTGAATGTGAACTTATATTGCCATCTAGAGTATGTGAATGTGAACTTATATTGCCATCTAGAGTATGTGAATGTGAACTTATATTGCCATCTAGAGTATGTGAATGTGAACTTATATTGCCATCTAGAGTATGTGAATGTGAACTTATATTGCCATCTAGAGTATGTGAATGTGAACTTATATTGCCATCTAGAGTATGTGAATGTGAACTTATATTGCCATCTAGAGTATGTGAATGTGAACTTATATTGCCATCTAGAGTATGTGAATGTGAACTTATATTGCCATCTAGAGTATGTGAATGTGAACTTATATTGCCATCTAGAGTATGTGAATGTGAACTTATATTGCCATCTAGAGTATGTGAATGTGAACTTATATTGCCATCTAGAGTATGTGAATGTGAACTTATATTGCCATCTAGAGTATGTGAATGTGAACTTATATTGCCATCTAGAGTATGTGAATGTGAACTTATATTGCCATCTAGTGTATGTGAATGTGAACTTATATTGCCATCTAGAGTATGTGAATGTGAACTTATATTGCCATCTAGTGTATGTGAATGTGAACTTATATTGCCATCTAGAGTATGTGAATGTGAACTTATATTGCCATCTAGAGTATGTGAATGTGAACTTATATTGCCATCTAGTGTATGTGAATGTGAACTTATATTGCCATCTAGAGTATGTGAATGTGAACTTATATTGCCATCTAGAGTATGTGAATGTGAACTTATATTGCCATCTAGAGTATGTGAATGTGAACTTATATTGCCATCTAGAGTATGTGAATGTGAACTTATATTGCCATCTAGTGTATGTGAATGTGAACTTATATTGCCATCTAGAGTATGTGAATGTGAACTTATATTGCCATCTAGTGTATGTGAATGTGAACTTATATTGCCATCTAGAGTATGTGAATGTGAACTTATATTGCCATCTAGAGTATGTGAATGTGAACTTATATTGCCATCTAGAGTATGTGAATGTGAACTTATATTGCCATCTAGTGGGAGTTGTGCTGCTAGTGTTCTAGCACATTCATCTGCCTCTCCACTGGCCCTCAGGTCAAATCCTGCTTGATAACATTGTTGACTCAACCTATTAAAGGGCCTTAAAATGATCTTGGTATTTAGTTGGACATCATGAAAAAATGCTTTTTCCTTTTGTTTTTAGTAAGAGTAAAGCTAAAAGGTAAAAGACCCTTTTGCACACCTTTAAGCGTATTGGGCACATAGGGCTAGAACTGTGTTTTATAGACCAATTAACACCCTGTTGGTTATGTTGTTATAATCATGCTGGCCGCCTTTACTTACGAGGATCTTTTTATAGGCTTGTATTAAGTTCACTCATGGTGTTTGTCTGGGAAAACTCTGCCTGGGATTTTTAAACTTTCACAGTCAGCTACCCAGCTCAAACTTTGCACATGTATGCTTTGTTGTTGACAGTACATTGAAGTGAAAAGATATATATTTATATAGTGAATATATTTTCAAGATTATAAATTTATGAATTTACCATGACATTAGGGATTTTCACAATGATTCATTAGTGGAGAGATATTTTACCTTAATGTTGTAAATAACAACAGGTGTTGAAGTTAATGATTTGATTTGATTTCAGAACCGACATCACAGCACTTGGGGCATTTCCATAAATGCTCCGTCCCAATCTTCAGCATCGAGCGAAGAGTTCCGATGCTAATGGTGCTAGTAGCATTCTGATTAAACGTCTGTCTTGCCTTTCCTCTGAGCCTCGAGCATTTGCCAGAACCTCTTGTCACTCCCCCTGCATCAATCTCACCAGACTGTGGTGATCCATCTGCTCCCCCGATCTGTTGTAGGTAATAGAATGATTAGTCATTCTTAATAGTTCCATGAGTTTGCCTTGGTGTTACAGGCATTCGAAATGATTCGTTAGCGTAACAGAGATATTTTCTTCTACTTCTTCTGCTTTTCTAATTCCCAGGGGAGCATAGGCCCTCAACCAACTCATGCCAGGTCATTCTGTCCTTCCCATATTTTTAACTTTGCTCTGGCTCCCTTCTCCGTGTGTTTTTGGTCTTCCCTTTATTTCTGTGCCCCTGTGGATTCCATTGCGAAGACATTCTAGTTAAACTGTTCTGAGGTTTGCTCAACATGTGTCCTATCTAACGCCAGTGTCTTTTCTTCACCTCTTGGTCCACTGGAACTTGTTTAGTTCTTTCCTAAAGCTCTGCGTTAGTGATTCTATTGTACCATTTAATTCCTTCGGTTCTGTGCTGGCCCCAGTTAATGAATGTAGTTTATTATTAACTGCCTTAGTTCTCCGTGTTTTAGCTTCATACAACAGTACTGATTTGACAATTGAATTTTAAAAAAAATGTTAGTATAGTAATAGTTTTAATTTCTTTGAAGTCCACAAATTTTCTAGTGCTTTGAAATCTCATATTGTCTTTTGTATTCCTATTTTAACCTCTATCAGTTCCCCCATCTTTATCAACATTACTGCCCAAATAGGTGTATGACTTCATGTCTTAATGTGTGATGTCAGTAATCACAGATGTTGAAGGTAATAGAATGATTTGTCATTGCTGGCTAATGATTTTCAGTCGATTAATTTGACTGATAAAGTGTGATTAGGGCTAAACAAGTTGGGGGAAAAAAATATATTCAAAGAACTTTTTTGTAAATAGCCTTTTATTTCAAAAGTGCACATAGTTAATGCTCTGCCTGGATACAAAATAATTTATCATGTAGTGTGATGGGCATAAGGTATGAAATAATTTTCTTTACAAAATCCATTTGCAATTAGTTCATGACTTAGTAAAGCGTGGGGCACCTAACTAAGTATCAAATACTGAATTTTCAAAAGTAAAAGCTATTTTCTATATATGTGGTTTTCAGCTATTATATATACTATGTCATTATTTGTCTTTTACTATCAAGGGTGTCCCACTCTTTCATTAGTTGTGATATAAAATTGAAGGTGAATTTTGTAAAGAAAATTTTGCATTAATTATTGTTGGCATTTTGAATGCAAACTTATTTTAAATTCAAAAACAAAAAAAAAATTAATATATTTATGCTTTTGTGTTCCATTACCTAAAATTGTCATCTCTGTGTTTTTTACAGTATTTTATTATTTGTTCCACATTGGTTTTTTTTTAAGTTTAATCTGCATTATTTTTTTCAAATAGTCCATACTATCTTGTTTTATTGATACTATTATTTGTTTTGCCTGAGGTTTTTATGTCACTGATGCTAAATGTTGTCTTCAGCTGCACTGTCTTCTGATTGATTAGTTCTTGTTGAAATGTACATTGTTTTTACCTAGTCTTAGCTGTCTTGTGTGGAAGTGAGGAAATAGGGAAATCTGTATAGAACCTGCTTTGCTGTAGGCCAATGAATCTTGGTATACAAATAAACAAATTAGGAGGGAACTTTGAGGCAGCAGAAGTGGAATCTGAGACTAATAGATGATACACATAGCTTGTACTGCTAGAGTAAATAATGTTACAGATAAACCAGTTCTGTCAGACTCAGGTTCTGGAACAAGACTAAAGTCCAGAAGTGGATGAACAACCAGAACTTGCTGCCGGAGTTTACAGCTGGTGAAGGCGAAGTAGAATTATGACAGTTACCTGCAGGAGATAAACAGTATTCTGTAGTCATGTGATAAGACAGGAGTCAAAGCACAGGATGATGATAATTCATTGGCCCAGTTACTTTTGTTCACTCTTTATACAGATAATTAATGCCTTCTGTCCCAAAGTGGATTCTGAGGCTCGGGAAGAGGGGGCTAGATCCACTGCCCCTTCCAACAAGCGTGTTGTCAAAGGTAACTAATTAGAGAGATTTGCTTGGATTAGATTGGATGTGTTGACCAGATATAGGATATCACAGCCTAGCTGTAAACCATAACACCACAGGCCCACTGCTTTTTGTGAGGCTAATCAAGCATCTGCAAAGAAGAAATACATTATGACCAGTTATTGCAGGTTAGCAACTGTTTTTATGCAATTATAAAAAAAATTTGTAAATTTTTTTAAACAGATTTTTTTTTGTTGATGTTTTAAAAAAAAAAATTCATTATTATTTATGTTTTATTTTCCAGAAAAACCAAACATTAGAAACACAAAGTCACATTCAACATCCTCATCCACTGGTGGACTCTTGGATCTGGGGTCGACCGAAAGGAAGTTATCCAGCCCAACCCTCAGATCTGTTGGATTGACCTCTGCAGGAAGTGACATTGTTGCCGGCAATTTGTCCAACCAGGCAGGTTTTGGCCAGTCTGACTGGATGACTGGACTAAAAGCAGCTGGAATGAAGGACAGTTTTCTGGAAGCAAAGCAGCCTCTGTGCCGAAATGTCAGTTCTCCAGATTTTGGCCAGCAAATGTTGGAGGGTTCCAGAAGAAAACTGAGTAATCGTGATGTTCTAGATGATGTTTTTAATGTTGATAGGACTTCACCTGCTTTTTTCCACAAAGATGGCAATGCTGGTTCAGATCTGCAATCCCAGGACACTCCCCTTATGGCTGGCAGCTCATCTACTGTGCCAGTAATGAAACATAAGTTCTCAGAGTTTCTCAGACAGCCGGGGAATGGAGACGTACTTGAGAGGACTTCTAATGTGACACCAGCTGGTGGTGCTACTTCTAGCAGCTCCTCGCAGTTCAGAGCAACTCAGTCAGAGAGGCTGGCTCAGAAACAGAAAATCATCAACAACAACGTTACCAAGTCTGAAATTATTGGGAGACAACCGTGGCGTCAAGCTCCTGGCAACAACACACAAGCGCAAAGCTGTACGCCTGGCTCAGGTGTCATTGATACGTTTTCACAGGTGAGTCCTGGACTGACCCAAGGACATAAGAACATTTTGTCCAAGTCAGTGCACCAGGATTATTTATTACCTACAGATTCTTCCAGGCCATTCTTGTTTAATGGAAACACCGCTCAGAATAGGTATCATCAGGATGATATTGTCGAGTACGAAAATGTGAATCGCAACTCTCCAACTTTTCAACCACAACGAATTTATCTTCCGCCCCCCAGTAGTCAGGAAGCGACTGTTCACATGATTGACCATAATGCAATGTTTGGAGGAAAGGTGACAGCAGCCCCACCGGCTGTCCATAATGCACTGCCTCAGGGACCAAATCAGGCAGTTCATTATATAAATACTTCCACAGCGCAGGGTTCTGGCACCACTGTTCAACTCTTATCTAGAAGCGAACCAATTTCCTATCGGTCCAGATTGAGCTCTGATAAACTTTGCCCTGTCTGCAGCATTGACTACAACCAGCTGAGCATGGAAGAGTTTCAGACCCACGTGTTTGAGTGTATCGATGACCAGAACCAGCCAGAGACCATGAAGCCGGAGGTAGTTCCTGACAAGCTGTGCCCAATGTGTAATGCTCGGTTCGGCCCTGAAACAACGCAGGGCCTCTATGAGAAGCACGTGCACAGTCATTTCGGTGAGGAGAGTTTTGAGGAACCCTTCTTGGCTACACCTTCCTGAATTGTTTTGTTTAATTTCTACACCCGAATGTCTTGGCTTCTTGGGGGTATTTGGCATGTTGGAATACTTGTTTCTATGTGAGTTCGCTGAACATTTGACTATTCTGTATTTGCATACAGTTGGCATTTGAATACCCAGAATTTATTTGGGTTATTAAAGTGACATTCACGTGAACTTATAGGTGTCATTGATACCCTGACCTCTGTGATCTGTGTTAGATGACTGCGTAACATAGGGGATTTTGATCATTGTTCTTCAACTGATGGGCTGTGGGCCATTGAAAGTCCAGGTGGGCCACCAGAAATATCTGCCTAATCATGTCACAGGGTAGTGTAGGTAGTTTTTGTTTGCAGGATTGTGGTCTGTAGGATTGTCACCTCAAGGAGGAGAATTCAACAGATACAAGTGATGTTCTACATACAAAGTCAGCATGTAAAGGGCTGACAACTGTGATTATCTTGAAAAAAAAAGAAAAGCTGATAGAGTTGTCTTCTGCTGTCAAGTATTGTGTCTAACACCAAAATCATCTACATTTTTTTAAAATCCCAAGAAAACGAATATCCATAAACTATCTGTGTATGTATGTGTGTATGTATGTATGTGTGTATGGATATATATATTTATATATATAGCTATCAGATTGTTTTATTCAACTTCCTGTCTGTATGAAAAGACTTTCTCAACCATTTCATAATAAAAACCAAAACAGAGAAATGGAATGAATGTTATTGCGGAGCTTCGCCGCTACTTCCACATATTTTCTAACCTCTAAGCAGTGGCAGTTGTCACTTTAGCAGACAATTGTAATTTCGTGACGACACTGGAGTGAACAAATAATCTGCTGTCTGCAATTGTTTAGGTTTTTTTTTTAGCTGTCATGAAACAGTGTCGACTGTTTTGGTGCTCCACAGGTGTGGAAGGATTAAGGAACACTGATTTAGATTCCCGAGTACAACCTGGATCAATAGGAGACATATTTTTCTTCTTGTGCAGTTTATCCCCCATTGGAGCGTAACCATCACCCAGCTCTTGCCAAGTCATCCTACCCTTGACTATCTCATGCTGCTCACCCCTTGTGTTTTTGAAAGGGCATCAGTTCTCTCTGGGAGATGCAGTGGCGTAGCGGCTAGATGCTCGCGTGCAGATCGGAAGGTCGTGGGTTCGCTCCCTGGTGGAGCCAAACTTTTTCATCAAATGACGTTGACTCCCAGCTGGACCAGGCCTTGAGTGGGTACCAGGTAAAGTCCCTGGAAGTATAGGCGGCCGGCGTAATGCTGACCACATCCCCCATCTTGTGCCGACTGGTCTATACAAATATAAGTCTAGCCCCATATGGAGAAGCAACCTTTACTTAACTATCAGTTCTCACTGGCAATGGGGACATTTTCTCTTGTTTGGAAAAGTAAGCTTGATAAACTAGAGTTTAGTACCGCAAATATGAGGAGTTTAGAGAATGTTTTGTATACTTGTATGTTGTTTTTTGTATCTGTGGTATTTGTTGTTGTTGACACCTTTCTGTCTTTTTCAGACGGTAGTGTTTAATTGAGAACTCATAGGAACCACAGACTGGTACGATCCGCATGTGCTCTTCTCATTATAGCACAAAGCATGGGCAGTATTGTAGAGACCATGTGTTGCTCATGCAGTTTGATTCCTTTCTCACCCAGCCTTATTTTCTCCAGATGAAAGGTATCACCAATACGTTTCGAGCAAAGCATGCTGGAGAAGCAGTGCTTTATCTTGTCTGCCTGTTGGAGTTTTCCTCCTAGAGCAGCTGCCATCTAAGGTTTAGACGCTGGTCTGCCCTGTCATAATGCTATGGTTTCAGCTGCATTTCTTCCGTGAAGTTAACCCTGTCAACAAATGCTCAATAAAGTCTAATGTATTGACTGAAAGGTGCAAATATTGCAGCTTTGCTGTAAATGGGCACAACTTAATTACACACTTGGATAAATGCGAAGAAGTAGTAGTAGTTTCATTTGCTCATCCTAGGAAAAAACATGTTGGCTCTACCCTCCCCATTCCCCCAAAGCTGAAGGCACAATATGGGATGTCAGACTTGGTATACGCCACCCAGTATTTAGTGTTAACAGAGAACTGATAGTACCGACTGCTGTTATAAGGTGGTATTTAGGTGTTATGCTATCACAGTTGACATTACTGCACATAGGGTGATACTCTGCTCAGTGCTCCAGTACAGCCGCAAATGCACAGTGCTCCAGTACAGCCGCAAATGCACGGTGCTCCAGTACAGCCGCAAATGCACAGTGCTCCAGTACAGCCGCAAATGCACGGTGCTCCAGTACAGCTGCAAATGCACGGTGCTCCAGTGCAGCTGCAAATACACGGTGCTCCAGTACAGCTGCAAATGCACGGTGGTCCAGTGCAGCTGCAAATACACAGTGCTCCAGTACAGCTGCAAATGCACAGTGCTCCAGGAAAGCCACAAATGCACAGTGCTCCATTACAGCAGCAAATGCGCAGTGCTCCAGTACAGCTGCAAATGCACAGTGCTCCAGGAAAGCCACAAATGCACAGTGCTCCAGTACAGCAGCAAATGCACAGTGCTCCAGTACAGCAGCAAATGCACAGTGCTCCAGTACAGCAGCAAATGCACAGTGCTCCAGTACAGCAGCAAATGCACAGTGCTCCAGTACAGCCGAAACTGCACAGTGGTCCTCCAGTACAGCCGAAACTGCACAGTGGTCCTCCAGTACAGCCGAAACTGCACAGTGGTCCTCCAGTACAGCCGAAACTGCACAGTGGTCCAGTACAGCCGAAACTGCACAGTGCTCCAGTACAGCAGCAAATGCACAGTGCTCCAGTACAGCAGCAACTGCACAGTGCTCCAGTACAGCAGAAACTGCACAGTGCTCCAGTACAGCAGCAACTGCACGGCGCTTCTTCTGATTTGGGTGTTGGTTTTTAAAATGCTCTACAGTAGCACTTTTAGGATTATCATAAAAAAGAATGCAGATTCACCAGATTCTTTAAGATCATGTACTGGCAGGCAGCTCTGCAAACACTAAACCTATATGCCATTGGCACACATCATGTACTGGCATTCAACTCTGCAAACACTGAACCTATATGACATTGGCACACATCATGTACTGGCAGGCAGCTCTGCAAACACTGAACCTATATGACATTGGCACACATCATGTACTGGCAGGCAACTCTGCAAACACTGAACCTATATGCCATTGGCACACATCATGTACTGGCATTCAACTCTGCAAACACTGAACCTATATGACATTGGCACACATCATGTACTGGCAGGCAACTCTGCAAACACTGGACCTATATGACATTGGCACACATCATGTACTGGCAGGCAACTCTGCAAACACTGAACCTATATGTCATTGGCACACATCATGTACTGGCAGGCAGCTCTGCAAACACTAAACTTATATGACATTGGCACACATCATGTACTGGCAGGCAGCTATGCAAACACTGAACCTATATGACATTGGCACACATCATGTACTGGCAGGCAGCTCTGCAAACACTGAACCTATATGTCAGTGGCACACATCATGTACTGGCAGGCAGCTCTGCAAACACTGAACCTATATGACATTGGCACACATCATGTACTGGCAGGCAACTCTGCAAACACTGAACCTATATGTCAGTGGCACACATCATGTACTGGCAGGCAGCTCTGCAAACACTGAACCTATATGTCATTGGCACACATCATGTACTGGCAGGCAACTCTGCAAACACTGAACCTATATGTCATTGGCACACATCATGTACTGGCAGGCAACTCTGCAAACACTGGACCTATATGTCATTGGCACACCACATTAAGTTCTTGTGCACACAACACGGTTGTTGTTGATTGTGTGTAATGTGGGGATTGAAGACCGGCATAGTCTGGAGTAAACATGCACAGATGGTTTTTAGAAATCCCAGATTTGGTGTATTTCCTATAGACTGTTGTAAATTTATACAAAGGTTTTTGGTTTATAGAGTGCAAATTTGTTTGATAATGTGCATATTTGTTTGCGAGTATACAAAGACATTTTATCACTGTTTTTTTCACATACTTTCAGTGTAAAAATATTGCATTTATGATGTAGTACAGTTTTATTTTTCCAAGTTTGAATGTTGTACAAATATTAGATTTAATCTTGTTTCAGAAAGGCTGAATACATAAATCACATTGGCCCTGTTTTCTGTCTCCTGACACCATAGCTAGATTTGTCCTATCATGGACTATAGAAGAATAACAATCAGTCTATTATAACATAGCTAAGATCTGTGCAGGATGGGATTGAAAGGTGACGTAAGAGTCATTGATCGCTAGCCAGTTGAGGTTCCATTTTTCTCTGTAGACAGACAGGTCACCAGGTAACTTCTCTTTTCCTGTGCCAAAAGTTAGAGTGCCTAAGTAAGAGCTCCAGTAGCAGAAAGAAGACACTAGAATCAATGTCTTCACCCCAGGAAGAGGGAGAAGCTGGAAGGATTAGCCTCACTGAAATCCAAGATCTTGTGACTGTGTGGTAGAAAATCCAAACAGTTGTTGAGAAGTGTCACCCTGATGGAGCCATAGTTAACAGGTGTTTTTCATGTTTCTTCTACTTTCTCATCATTATTTCTTTCTTTCTCTGTAGCCAATAACTAAGCAGTTGGAAGATGCTTGTTGCTGTACTAGAAGATACACAAACATTTTTTTCTTCTTCTTTTCCACAGACTGTAAGCTTGGGGGGCGGGGTGTGGTGGTGGTCCTGATTGATTGTTTGTCCATTTAGACTTTGGCTTTGTGCTAGGGCCTGAGTTTTGCATGTGCATTCTTTTTACTGGCTCATTTGTTTGCTGCTGGTTATTCTTGCAGATGCACTCCCACTTTGAAGGAAGTCCCCCAATTAGTCAACTCCTGCGACATAATTGTTAGGGAGGCAGGGGGTCTATTCTTGCTTTCCCTACAGTCTGGGCCCCGGAACCCACATGCAGAACACAAACATTCACCATTCATTGAA